GATCAAATGTTTGAATTTAGCTTCGTATTAGTGATTTAGTGATAATGCATATAAATCTGAACAGTAATAGCTAACTAAAAAAATATATTATCTAGAAAGAAAATTATAGCTGCATTTTCATGAAATGTTAGAAACTCCAGTTAAGTTTATATGTTCTTTTAATCGTCATCGCTATCTTTAGGTAACGTCAGAAACTAATTTAATAAATTAGTAAAGTATTATTCGATATTCAGACATTATGTCATAAAAATATATAAAGCATCTCTTGCAGTTAAGTTTTATATAAATGCATGAGAAATTTTAACTGTTTAGAACACCCTAATTTCATGAAGATCATGTAAACATATTAATATTGTTTTCTGAGTGTGATTGATTTTGGCATTTTCTTTTCTCGCGTGTAGGAAATTCGCCACCAGTTTGAAATGTGTCGAAATATTTTTTAATAACAAGTGTATGGAAAAAGCAAAGCTGTTGACAACGCAAAAGTTGGCATACTCAGCGGTCTTCGACTACCTATGTGCTGAAAATCAAAAGAAAATTTCTGGTAATTTTAATATATGTTTTATAAATACGGTGAAGGTAATCTATACCTTAAACAAATCATGCAAGGGTATCGCGACGCAAAGTCACAAATGACATTTATTTGTTTAGTACTGTAAAAAGTTAAATGTCTAAGGTAAATCTAAGAGTCTAAGAGTAGAGTATTATAAACATTTTAAATTTTCTTTTACTAGACAAATACACACAGGTATAAAATCATGATTACTGAATATATTTGTTTCTTTTCATTGCGTACAAGTGTAAGAGGTATAAAATCTGGAACTCACAAGTATAAATCCATTGACAGTATCATGGTAGTTTGTTTCAGTTTCACGCAAAGCTAAGAACTATTTGCGCACAATCATTCGTAATTTTGAATTGAAAGACTAGAGAGAAACACCTAGTCAACAGCACATTTTTGCTTTGAAAGTAATTATACTATGATTTTTGATAATGTATGCACATCTTCATCAAATTTGTAAGGTTATTAGTAAACATTACAAGGCTTTCAAACACAAAATATCAGGTTTTTAAATTAAGTATTAAGATATTTTAATTTAAAATTTTCTCGTTTTTTTTTCAAAATGTTGACTATCCAACATGAAAAGTAATTTTGATTTTAAGATTAAAAATACTATTTATTCATCAGAACATTTTCAAATTACACATACAAAATATTTTTAACCTCCAGATAATTATCAAATATTTTTTAGAAAAAAACTATATATTTTATCGGTTATTTTCATTACTGGTTGGTTCGATTTGACCGACTTTGTAACATCCATACAAAATTAGGAAGTAAATTTTTTTTTCTTTCTAGAAAATAGAATGACTACAGATTTATATATATATATATATATATATATTAGCTGACCGCCCAGTAGCACAGCGGCATGTCTCCAGACTTATACCGCTAGAAACAGGGTTTCGATACCTTTGTGCTTAATAACAAACAACAACATATATTGATCATTCGGTATTATAGAAGTTCAGTTCGCCCCTGAAGAAGAAAGGTCCACCTTTCGAAAGCTCTTGTGTTATAGGGTTTTTATCCATTTCTATCAAGAATTCTTGAACCTACGTGTTTTTCTAACATCGTGCATTATAGAAGTTCAATGACGCGGCGCACGTGCACTCATGTTACTGTATTCAAGAATATAAAATGGCCTTTACAAAGTGGGCTGTGTTTTAGTATATTTTAGTAAAATACAGTTAAATTTCAGTTATAATACATATGTATATACATAGTTACTATTTACAAATAATTTCTTAAACATATTTTTCTTAAAACATAGAACAGTAACTAAAGCAAACAATTATCACTTCTAGTTTCGACCTTTGTACTCGTTTGCTGCTTGACGTAGGTTACTAAGTCTTATCAAATTCCGCACGTGGAAGATGTGAAACGAAATATTTTTATTTTTTAGGTTTTATATATACATTTTAAAATAACCAAAAATTGTAAGTTACTATATCAATACCACAGAATTCCACTATAATTTATCAAGCTTAGTAACTATGCTGTATTTGACTCTAAAAAACATAAAATGTTGAGCTCACTAAAGTTTCACCTTACCTTTTCGACTCTTAAGCTTTGAAAGAACAAGTTTGGCGCTGAATAATTCAATTATGCTGAGAAATCCACTAGTGGGGACATTCCGAGCTTTCGTTTGATTATTCACACGTCGTAGACAGAAGTAAGTGTACGTAAGCATGTCTTTCCAAAAATAGAAAGATTTGGGTGAGGCCACTGTGTTTGATTCAGTAAATAGAAGAGATAGGAGGTTCTTATTTTAAATTCTAGCTTGCCAATGTCGGTAATTTCAGTTCCTAATCCGTAAGAAGCTATAGACTTAGTATTTTGACATTACAAACATCTAATTTGAGCCAATGCCGTATTCAACATACCACATGACACACAAAAATGAATATTTAGGATTTCTTTTTAATATTTCATTTTAAATTAAGAAATTAACTAATATATCAAACTAAAATCTGAACCATAATCTACAATTTGATACCAAACTCATTGACATACATTTATAAAATAGTAGTTCAATAAAATTTTGAATGCGAGTCGACAAACGCGATATGACATGGCCTTTAACAGTAATAGGATTAACAGTACGCAGATCATGCATACTTGGATTCGCAGTTAATGCTTTAATAATTAATTAAAACAGATCAGTTTAAAAGAAGTGCACTGCCTCCCCCCTTCATTCAGTTTTATTTTTTGTGAATCGCACAAAGTTACACGAGTGCTATCTGCGTTAGCCATCCTTAATTTAGCCGTGATAGACTAAAGGGAAGGCAGCTAGTTAACACCGCCCATCGCCTATTCTTGGTCTACTATTTTAACAACGAATAATGAGATTGAACGTCACATTATAACGCTCACACGGCTGAAAGGGCGAGCATGTTCGGTGACAGGGATTCGAACCCCACGAACCTCAGATTGTGAGTCGAGCGCCCTAACTACCAGGCCTCACCCCATTCGGAAAGTTCAGAAACAAATGTTATGGGAGGTTGGGTGTCTAAGGTAGCGTAATAACACTTTTGGTGGTTTCCATTTCTTTTCATCCGAAAACTAATTTTTCTCTCCATGATGAAATAACATTTCAGTTTTAATTCGGTCATAGAATTATTTAAAACTCATTTGTAGCCGCGGCATAGCAGCTCATAGAGTGGCTCCGAGTTTGTTTTTTTTTTTGTTGTTTTTTTTAAGTACAAACTTTTTGCTCATAGCTTCATCTGTTGACCGAATTTATATCTAATTACAGCCGCAACTATTGAGAATTCCATCTTGTCATGTAAGCATATGTCACACTTTAGTTACGGTAGTCTTTGGTTTTACTTTCGCTATTTGCTTATACATATTTTATGCATATCGCTTTATATTTATTTATTTGCATTATGATAGTAAACTATAGAAAAACAATAATATTTTTCTTTCACACAGAATTCTTTGAAGGGTTGGATGACCAGTGTTCCATTCAAGAAAACGACCAGTCTACTGCATGTTTACAAGGGTTCCTTCCAGCAACAAATATTGTTTCTTCATTCTCCGACATTTGCAAGTATATCAAAAGAATTACTCATTAGAAAAAAATAGAGTGTAGAATTATTTTTTAAATTTTCTTCAACTCTGTTTATGATGATTAAAGCTGCTTCAAACATATAATAGCATTCCAACTTTCGTAGACCTATTTATATTTTTAACATCTCGGTTGTTTTATCACATAAAAACTAAATGCCATATCATACTTCTGAAAATATATCTTTGAGTTTTGTGGAAACGTATGTTGTCTTTAGAACTTAATTAAATGATTTAATTATGAACTTCAAAGAAGGTACATATTTCTACTTTTTAATAGCAAAACTGGAAACATGGAGAATTGCCTACAGCAAGCTCTGTCCAAGTGTACAGATAAAAGCAGGGGAGTGCTAATAGGTGCAGTGCGTGTCTATGAAAATAAAGTATGTGAAGAACAACATACGAAGACAGTAACTGAAGAACCAAGCACAGCATCACAAACCATTCCAACCAGTACCTTAATACTGGTGACAATAGGTGTGGAGCTGCTGAACCGTTTCAAATCTTCCACGAGATGATAGCTGTAAAAACACACCAGTTCTTCGTTGAGTAATTAAGATTAAATCTTGTGCATCATTTAAAATAACAATGATATATGTTGTATCCTTTCGAATATAGGACTTTTGGAACTGAAGTTTCTTTTGCTCAACAATGTTTCGGTACTGAGATGCGGTTGCGCGAACCTCCACAACCTACGTTTCATAAAGAGATCATCAAGAGGTACGCTTCATTGAGCTTCAGCACGTTTACTTTACGAGTGGTTGGGAGTTTAGTATCTTAAAAAAGTGGAAAATTGAAAATTATGCGTAAAAACAAAAATATAAACATGTTTGTTTATTTTTATAACGCATTTTCTGAAATAAAAAACTTGTATGTTGAACGTTATTAGTTATTTCCTGGTATAATAATAAATATTGTTTTACACACAGTTTCATAAAATGTGGATACAGAATTTAAGGTATAGCAGTACCCGTACTTTATAAATTTTGTTTAGAATATATTAAAACAAGTTTATAACACTTCTTTGCATTTACAGCAATATGGTGCATTAGAGGTTAATAAAAGTGTCAAAAACATGAAGTAAAAAATATATCAAAGTGTGAAAGATACAGTTCTTCAGTCTCAGTACAGTTGAAATAATCCTTTGAATGTCTTGCAAAAACCTGACATTCTTGCTATATCTTGGAAACTGTATAACATATAGAAATGATTTTTATTTTCACCAGGATAAAAAACAGTAAAGCTTAACTAAGGCAGAAGTAGGTACTGTTACGTATCTGCTTGTTTGTTAATTTTCCGTAGAAATTATTTCGGTGAAACTTCAGCGATACAAGTCCTTTCTTAATTAAACTAGTTTATTCTTTCTCCATACACACTTTGTAATACACGTAACAACTTTTATAACACACCCTATAAATCACAGTGATTCACACACTTTACTTACTGTGCCTACTGTTCGCTTGACTCAATTAT